GGGCCCCCGGGGCAGCCTGGGCCCCTAGTCAGGGCTCTGCTGCGCGTGGCTTTGCCAAGGGGAAGGAAAGACACTATGAAGGGAAACAGTGGTGCCCCTTTTTACTAAATGCACCCCAACTCGGGACCAAGAATTTTCACCTTTTTTTCCAGCTTGATTGAGCTGTGATTGATACATTAACCGTGTCTGCCTGGACAGCAGAATGGGGGACGTTTAGGACTAAGGGTACGTGCACACCCATGAAGGGGCTCGGACTGCCGACAAAGCCCAGACTAGTTGACTGAAGTCGTGAGGGTCAGGAAAGGTCAACATCATCTTCCCTTAGGTTCCAGTGGATCTGGCGATTGAGCCCTTCAGGCTAATCTTTACTATTGAAAGAGAACTGGGCGTCTCTTTCAACCATGTATTATCTTCGCTAATGTTCCTTCTCTTGCCCGGTAACAGCCCTTTGTTTCTGCATTCTTTTGTTCCCTTAAGATCATTCATTACAGAGACCTGTTCAAGGGCAGCACTGTGGCCAGGTGAAGATCACAAAATGGCTTAGGCCAAAAATGGCTTCTCTCACGTCAAGAAAGCCATGTCTGGTTCTCTTTGTCCGGGACCCCGTACCTTATCTGATCACAGACGAGCTTGGGTAAAGGCACCCTGACTTCCTGCCAGCTCTGAATTTCATGGAAGCAACTGCTTTCAGGCTGGAGAACTGAGCATGCTTTTCCCGAGAAAAAACTGCTAGCCATGTCCCGACCAGCGTCTCTGAATGGGACAGTGACTTTCTTGTATTTCCACTCACGGTAAACATGAAATAACTGCGTAAATGTACATGTTCCAATTTCTTTTTTTTTTACATTTTCCAATATTTTTAACTAAACCTTCAGACTAAACCTTCAACACTGCTGCTGTTGGTGATAAACTGCGGGGGGGGGGGAGAAATTAGGTATGTAAACACATGCTATATTAGTACTTTCTTCCTAGTTTGTTTTTTGAAAACTAAAGTGCAAGGAAAAAGGACCAATATCAAAGACCAGTCTTTCTGGTTTCAAATCGGCATTTATTTTTCCCTCCTAGGCTTCCCTTGTCGAATGTTTGGCGCATTTATGGCGGCATGTTAAATCTGTCCGAGATAACCAAAGAAACACCTTTCTCACAAATAAAAGAGATTATCATTCACCACAATTATAAAATCTCGGAAGGTAGTCATGATATTGCCTTAATAAAACTTGAGACTCCTTTGAATTACACTGGTACGTAGCATGTTTAAGGAGGAGCGTACAGCTGCATTGTGCTGGTTTGAATTTTCACGTCAGTTTGAAGGCGAGGTCAGAACCCAGAGAGATTGTCTATTTTTTTTTTTTTTTGGTTAGTGGAGTGGTGGGAAAGGTGAGTGTTGCCATGAAAGATAAGACTTAAGGGCCAAGATGTGTTAATTGGTTCTTTCAGGTAGGAAAACAGTTGCATATACACTATTGAAATAATAGACATAAGACATGTCTTTGCCATCTGGGAAGCGTGGCTTCCTCTGTCAAGAGTAGCAGGATTAGCGTTGCCTTGGGCACAAAGGACTCTGTGAAGACAAGCAGAGCCAGGTGGACCTTGACTAGAGAAGGAAGTAGCATTGAGGTTGGAGGTACTGCATTTGGAAGCACAGAACTGCAAGTTAAAGCGCTTAAAAGTCCTGCTTTATATGGTATAGACACTCTTCTGTTACCATTAAGAATCACATACAGAATAAGATGCAAGAACTTCTAAGTGCTTTTGGCAGTAAATCTGGCTTCTGAGTTTTAAAATTTAATCCAGAAAATTTAACACCAAAACTGACTCTGATGGTGACAAATTTTCTGGAATCACTGACCTTAGAAATGGAGCAGAAAGCAAAAGATTTATTCTGCTTGGTGCTACTCTCTAGAAAGAGACTATGGGAAGAGAAAATTATGTATTTTTAAAGTCGATATCCATAACTTTATCTAGCCAGACTCTAATTTAAAAATTACCTTTCAGATTTCCAAAAACCAGTATGCCTACCTTCCAAAGATGATACAAATACAATTTACACCAACTGTTGGGTAACTGGATGGGGCTTCACAGAGGAAAAAGGTACAGCATGACATTTTAAATGTTGTTTCTAAAGCAAGTCTTATATGTAAAATTCATGGAGTAGATCCATTTAATTGGCCTCTGTCTGAATTTTTTTCTAAACTCATGATTTTTTTTCCAAATTATCCATTCCCAAATATTTATTCAGTGATTCTTGAGAAAATGGATTTTTGCTTGGGTCTGGAAATTTATAGGGTAATCTTTTCAGCATCTTACTTTAATTGGCTTGGCTTCACGTAAAGGATTGGTCTCACAGAGGACTAAAAGGCCACCCAAACCCATCCCGGCCTCAGAATTAACAGAGCTCTCATCTCCCAACACCGGTCTTCTTTCTAACTTGGTATTAATGACCAGAAGCATAGGGAGACACGCCCTCTCTCTTTCTTGTTTTTGCTTTTTTTTTTAATGCATCCTCCTAGCAATCTGGTGAAGCCTATAAACCTTCTCTAATGATGCTTTTAAATCCTTAAATAAATAAAACACGTAGGATTACAAAGGAAATCAATGAAACTGCAAAACACTTATCAAAAGACTCTAAGATGTGCTGCAGTAATACTGTGCTTCTTTATTAACATATTAAATAGTAAGTTGTTCTAATAACTACCACAGTTTTGAAACTGCAATGACCACAATGATAATTTGAGTCATCTGCCACAACTATAATGTGACAGGAAAATGCCTGTGATCTCTGCTGATGGCAAAGTCACAGTGCCCTTAACACTGTTGAAGGGAGTGTTAGACTTCGGTTGGAGGTTGGTGAAAATAAAGATGTATTTCTTTCCTACCCAAGTTGATAGATCATGTGAATTCTTTCTGTGGGCCTTTGGTTAAGAACCCCTGCTTATGGACACTTGGGGTGTTTTCATTGCCCTTGAATTTTCTGAGAAACAGACCATTCTTCCTTTCCAAAATTATGTTCTTGGTAGACACTAGAGGTTTGCCTCATTCTTTACAAAAGGAGACAGCTTGATAAGCTCTCTCCATCTGTCCTGATTCAGTCCTTTATCCAATGAATTAAAACATTTTTTTTCAAAATTTTGACTAGTTCTTTGAGATGGGAAGAAATGTAAAGTAATCGTAACTAAATGATGAACACTCCCAAATGATGTCCAAGGACAGCCTGGACACTGGTGGGAGTTAAACTATTCATAAACTGTTCTTAGTGAAAAATGCTCACTTGCAGTTACTCAAAGAACAAAATACTCTTCTGCTGCCAAAGGTTTGGGTTTTTTTTTTCCAAAAATTATATATGTATCTTTTTTTCCAGTTTCATTGAGATATAATTGACATATATGACTGCATAAGTTTAAGCTGTGTAGTATAATGGTTCAACTGACAAATATTGTGAAATGATCACTGCTATAAATTTGGTTATCATCCATCATCTCATACAGATACACACACACGAAAAAGAAAATTTTTTTCCTTATGGTTTGAACTCTTAGGATCTATTCTTTTAACAACTTTCAAATATACTATACAGTAGTGCTAGGTTATAATCATCGGGTTGTACATACATCCCCAGCACTTACTTGTCTTACAACAGGAAGTTTTCACCTTGTGACCACCTTCCTCCAATTCCCCTTTCCTTACCCCTCACCTCTCTCTGATCTGCAAGTCTGATCACTTTTTCTATGAGGTTTTTTGTTGGCTTGTTTGTTTTTACAGTCTACATATAAATGAGGTCATACAATAGTCATGTTTCTCTGTCTCACTTAATTCACTTAGCATAATGCCCTCAGGGTCCACCTATATTGTCACAAATGGCAAGATTTCCTTCTTTTCATTGGTGAATAATATTTCATCATGTGTATATCATATATATATATATCCACATATATCTCAAAATGTCTTTATCCACTCATCCATCAAAGGAAACAGTAAGTTTCCATGTCTTGGCTATTATAAATATTGCTGCTGTGAACACGGGGGTGCAAATATCTCTTCCTCACAGTGTTTTCATTTCCTTTGGATGTATTTCCAGAAGTGGGATTGCTAGATCGTGTGATAGTTCTATTTTTAATTTTTTGAGGATTCTTCATGCTGTCTTCCTTAGTAGCTGCACCAATTTACATTTCTACCAACAGTGCACAGAAGTTTCCTTTTCTCCACATCCTCACCAGCATTTGTTATCACATATCTTTTTGCTATTGGCCATTCAAACACGTGTGAGGTAATATCTCATTGTGGTTTTGATTTTTATTTCCCTTATGATTACAGATGCTGAGTACCTTTTCCTAAACCTTTTGGCCATTCATTATCTCCTTTGAAAAAAATATCTATTCGGGTCCTTCACCCATTTAAAAATCGGATTATTTGCAGGGATTTTTTGCTATTGAATTGTAAGTTCTTTAAATATTTTGGCTATTAACTCCTTATTGGATATATGTTTGCAAAGACGTTTTCTCATTCCATAGATCGTCTTTGCATTTTGTTGGTAAAAATGATACGTTTTATAATGAGTTTTTGAATATATAAAACAAAAACCGAAAGATAAGAACTTCTAGGCTTTTGGATTGTGGGCAGTAAGAGGGAATTGCTGAGAGACTTGTACAGAGTTGAGAGAGTGGCAGAGAAAATGGAAGTCAGTTCTCTGGTCGCCGAAGTCCCTGGGTTGTCCTCACGCTGCCTGAGAGCTCACGGCAGGGCTCCCCTGGAGCCCCTTCTGTCTCTGAATTCGTGTGTGTAACTCTACCTTCTCACCGTTACTATTTTTATCCACAGAAATGATCTGAAGGAAAAGGTCATCATTCCCATTTGTTTGAAGATGCTAGTCTTTATTTACTGCCTCCTGAAGTTATATATCGGTTATCTCATAGGTAAAATCCAAGATACCCTACAGAAGGCAAATATTCCTTTGGTATCAAATGCAGAATGCCAGAAAAGTTATAAAGAATATAAAATAACCAAACAGATGATCTGTGCTGGCTATAAAGAAGGAGGAAAAGATGCTTGTAAGGTAATGTATTTGATAATGAAAAACACACAATAGGCCACTTGAGAAAAATCATTTCAAAACATGTATTTTCAATAGTATATTTCATTATGTCTCACTACAGCTTTTTAAAAACTTTGGAGCCAAATGATCTAATAATTTCGTAAATAACCTTTAGCAAAGTGAATGCACATTTATAATTTTTATGTGTGATGTATTATATATGTCACAATTTTTGCAGGAGCATGCTGTATTTAAGGGAAGACAGTTGTGCAGACAAGAATTCTACTAAAAAATAAAAGCATTAGATTTATTTCACCTTGGGATGACGATGTCAAAATTTCTCTGTTGGAATAAACAAAAAATACAACTGTACACTATTGAATTAAGTCATTTTCACCACACCCACAGCTAATGAGGCACATGGGATGTCTGAAGAACTATAAGAAATTGTCTGTGTGTGGTATGTGTGGTGTGTGTGGCGTGACTATGGAATTTTAAAGGCACACCTGTCATAACCTTCTATCGTTTTATTTTTTCCATCCACTGTGATGCAGGGTGATTCAGGTGGTCCCTTGGTTTGCAAACATAACGGAATTTGGCATTTGGTGGGCATCACCAGTTGGGGTGAAGGCTGTGCCCGCAGGGAACAACCAGGGGTCTACACCAAAGTTGCTGAGTACATGGACTGGATTTTAGAGAAAACACAGGACGGTGACGGTCAGTCTTTGATGAAGTAGCCAGCCCGAAGAAGCTCCGCAGAGATGGTGAAGAAGCCAGATGGGCGCATTAGTTTTGCAACCTGGGTTCAATTCAAGTACTGAGCCTTGGGGTCCTCATCAGCCAAAACGTGGAGAGTGATGTCTACCTCCTGTCCTTGTCATACGGACAAAAACGGACAATGCATAATGCTTTCAGCATTCAGTAACAATGCTATAGCAGGAGATACTAACAACTGAATATCTCCACGATTGTTGGTTGTGAAATAAAATGGCAAAAGAGTGTGATCAAAAAGTGGTTTCTTCTCAAACTCATAGACACAGAAAACAAACTTACGGTTACCAGGGGGGAAAAGGGAGGGTGGAGGGATAAACTGAGAGTTTAGGATGTACAGATGCTAACTACTGTCCATAAAATAGATAACCAACAAGGTTCTACTATAGGGCACAGGGAACTATATTCAATAGTTTGTAATAGCCTATAATGAAAAAGAATATAAAAAGGAATATATAAATGTATAACTGAATCACTGTGCTATACACCAGAAATTAACACAGCACTGAAAACTGACTATACATTAATAAAAAAAAAATAAAGTGCCAGAAAGGAAAAAGGAAAAAAACAAAGTGGCTTCTTCTAATTGTGAAACGGAATGGAAGGTAAGTGACCCCAGATTCTAGCCCTGTGCCTGGGACCACTCTAATCTTACCGCTCCCCCTGGAACTCAGTCGATCTCAGAGATCCCCATTTCTTCTCTCAGGCTCACACATGGGGTCATTCAGACCTACTACTCCTGCTTGCCTTATGTGGGGTAGAGAGCCAGTAAGCTTGGATTTTATTCTGCCAAGCAGAAGCAAAGTAACCTGTGTAACACACACTTTTCTAAGAAAGAGATGGGTTATCCACACCTGGGAGAATGTTGGTGCACCTCTCCATCTTGGCCTCCTACCTTGGCTCCCCAGGCATCGCCACAAGGGCTCCAAGGCTGGCCATGCAGGAGAGACCCGTGGGGCTGCAGGTGTCTGGGTGCGGCTCCTGCAATGGGCTCATCATACATTCTTCATGGAAGGCAAGGGACCTGCTTTGCTGGGGGTTCAGATACTGGGGTCTGCTGTAGAAACCCAAGAAGCAGTGTTGGGTAAACTCATGGTAGAAGGAAGTAGCCCTGGAATGAATGATATCAGTTCTCACACAACACAAATTCCAGGCTTGCCCCTAGCCACCATGACAGATAGCAGGGAGCTGGATTCAGTTCTGTTAAACTGACTTGACATCAACCCAGAAATGACCGCTTACAAAGTATTGTGTAAACCAAGTAGAAAAATAGAAAAGCAAACTTTCTAAAAGAGATCGAGTTTTTCCTTCCATGCTCAAAGACACACTGCGTGGTAGAAAGGGCCAACGTGGAGGGACGGGAAGGAAAACCACGAGGTCTGGGTTACTCACAAGCCATATGGTAGGAAACGGAGGAGTTAAGGGTTTACTTCGCCAGTAAATTCTCCAGATTGGGTAATATCTGGCTGGATTTCATGAAATGATTAAACAAAAAACACCCCTACAACTTCAGCTTTTACTTTTGCATGCAATAAAGATATTGGTCTTTGTTGTGTGTGGGTGTTGCTTCATATTTAAAAGGAAAAAAAAAACCAGTTTGCAATGAAGATCTTTTATCTCAGCTTTTAGTATTCTAAAGCAAGTGTTTGAATAGGACTTTGAAGTGTTTGTAGTGTAACCCTTGGGCTTTTGTTGGTCAGGGAATGACCTCCTTTGGGCAAAAAGGAGACGGCAGCTTTGAAATGTGGAACTCCTCTGGGGTATAAATGATCGTTTCAAAGTGGCCAAATTGGAACCAGTGACACTGGAATGGTCCCTATTACCCGCCACGTGTTCAGTACAGGGGTGAACAGAGGAGCCCTTCACACAGTAAGAGCCTCATGGGACTGAGAAGTGTGTAGGAGGTTAAGCAGGCGAGAGGGTGGGATGACTGAGCCCACACGAGGGAGAGGAGATGGGAGGCGTGGGTCTCTGGCAGTGCCGTCCAAGAGAGGGCAGGGGCGGCACCAGGCCTGGATGCCAGCACCGCTCCGGGCCTGGGACACTGGCATATGTACCTGCGGGATCCACGGCACAGGTACACACCTGATAGGTCAGAAAAGCTATCTTGGCATAAAGATCAAATAAAATATCTAATTACTGCCCTCCAGATACAAGATCACAATAGTTCCTTAGCATTTTACATAAAGACATCTTGTAAGTTTAAATTGCCCCTAACTTTCTGCCCTCTGAAACAAAAATGCGGGCTTTTCTCTTCTCAAAAGGACTCCAATTAGTCTATATGGGGCTAAGCTTCAAAGTGACCTTTGCTCACTGTCTCCTTCAGTAAGTTCTCTCTTTCCCCCCATATGTCCCTACCTGTAAGAGCTCGGAAAAGACTGTCCAGTGTTCCTAATCTTGGGTCATCTTTCTACGCAGGCATTTGACAACCAGGAACTGGCTATTCCGCACCTTCAGAAACCATTCCATGAAAGGCAACGTAATTGTGATAGACATAAAACGAGACTGTCTCCCTGTCTCCGAATATTGAAATGCTCCAAGTAAACTGGCAACATTGTTTAGCTTTGGAAGATCACACTCACATTAGCAATATTGTCCCTGAACAAAGTACAGAATTTCCTCTAATGACTCTGACTTCAGCAAGGTCCCGAATGGGGGCAGATTTTTCATCTCATTTTTCCCTTTGTCTTCAAAATATTTTTTAAAATTATGACTCCAGTTATAAACCTAAGATCTCATTGTTTTTCTATGGAAAATTATGTCTTCTCTGAATCATAACATCTTTCTCTAAAATGTATTTAAATCAGACATATTAAAGGTTTTTAAAATTTTTATTTCTTTAAGGTTTCCAGGGGCCCACATAGAAATCCTCAGAGCGAGCTAGTGTTTAATGTTCTAAATGAGGACCTGAAGTTCTGAGAGATAAGGCGGCTTGGCCAGGAAAGCACAGGTATCTGGTTTAAGCACAGGAGTCTGGTTTCTGCTTAAGTTACATAACTAATAAACTACTGACTAGATCTGGGTAACAGAGGACATGCGTCATCATGACTTCCACTGAGCTTTTAGCCCTTCCTCAACGTCAATGGGAAGGCTCTAAACAGAAAGATAATTAGGGTGAAACCCCACAAGTGTTTCACAAGCTTTCCTCTCTATGAACTGTAACAAGTCCTACCACTAGGAGGCGCCTTCTGGGACAAAAGTAACTGACCTGTGATTTTTTGATTGCTAGTCAATCAACAGCTAGACAGTCACTTCTGAGCCCTCCATTTGTGTCTCGGTGGGCTGAGATCTAAAGAAAGCTATGAAGGTCCCATATTTTCCATTTAAAAAAAATGTTAATTTAGACTTTCAATGTTCTCAAGTGGGATAAAAAAGAGCTGGAAAAATAAAATGAATTTTATCTTCATAGGCCTCTGAGGAGGTAACGCTACGTTAAGGGGAAACTGATGTCGAACTGCTAGGTGTCTACACTCGGCCCTTTACTTCTTACCCACTTCGCAGCCCTCAGTAGCTGAGTCTGGTTTCCCTGCTATACTGCGCATCAATAAGTCCATCCCACGTCCCTCGTTTTCTTTTTAGACGGTGAGGCTCAAGTTAGGCTGGAATTAATGATTAACAATTGCTACATGTTAGTGTGGTTAAGTGCAGCTTTGGCGAGCAGGTATACTAATTTTGAGTTTGCTCAACTGCTAAGGCACACAGGCAAATTCGAGTTCTCTAAGCTGTCTCTCTGGGTGTCACTTGTTTGAATACACAGTAAAATAAGAGGAAAAAAATTAACATGTTGAAAAAGCAAGCACCTCTACCAAGGTACATATTTGATATGAAAAGCTTTTAAGGACTTTCACAGGTTTGCTGTACAAAGAGACAGTGTTACATAACACTGGGAACCAGTAAAAGTAAATATCAGAGTTAAATGAACATTACCTGCAAATGCTCATTTAGAGGAGGATGAAGACCATTGTGGGAGAAGAAAAACATTCTTATTAAGAATTGCAGCAAACAAGGTGTTTCAGGTATGATTTCAAAAATTATTATTTAAGGATTGATTATTAAAATGTGTCTGATTTAACATTTGGGAGGTTTTTGGTTAATATCCATAAGCAATTTTAGAAGAGATGCCGAGCCAAACGGAGGAAGAGTAATAATTTGAACTCAATAGCAAGCATTTTACAACTTAAAAAGATATTCAAGAGCAATACGAAAAAATTAAAAGACTGGATTTGTCTCACTGATAGCAGGTTTTTCACAGAACTGTCAGTTCAGGGTTCCGTGCGGATAAGTACATGTATAGGTGACCAAGATAAACTAGGAATATATTTGCAACAGAATTTTAAAAACAGAAAATTTTGAAAGTACAAAATCACTTACAGCTTCTTTGATAGATATAGAAAAGAAACTGCAAAGATGGAAAGAAAGGAAATAAGTTGGGAGAGAAGATAAAATGTGGAAAACCTGGGGTGGGGAGAGGGTCAGAAGACGGCCTCGAGAAATGTCTGATTGATAATGAGCTGGAGGCGGAGGAGAGGGAGGGAGGGGAGGAGGGGGAGAGGACGCTTTCCTCTCCATCCTAGGCTCTTCCCCACCATGAAAATGTCAACACAGCACTCGGCCAGGCTGAGGAATGTTCTAGGATTGGGGAAAACAGAATTCAGCATTGTGATAGGAGCTCTGTGAACATTATTGAATTAACTACTCTCTCTCTCCTCATTTCTCATGGAGGGTGGTATAGCTCAAGTAGCAGAATGCATACTTAGCTTGCACAAGGTCCTGGGTTCAATCCCCAGTACTGCCCCTGAAGATAAATAAATAAACCTCATTGCCTGCCCCTCCCCCCCAAAAAAAACTTCTTAAAATTTTTGACTTTTTTTGGTAAACTCTGATGTCAATAAGTTAATTATAAATTCACATTTTATATTCTAAACTCATGCACATTTTTCTTTTTGTAGGATGATTTTATTCTATGAAATGGTCCATTTCATTTTATTTGCCTCAGTTTCTGGTGGTAAGTGGACCTTGATCTTTAGTATGGGCAGGAAATAACTTGGTTCCCTGACTTGCAGATTAGAAAACAGGAGGGTATAAGGCCAGAGGGGGAAATCACACGACTGACCCCAGAGATGTGGGAGCGTTCCGTGCCATCTACGCCAGGGAAGGAAATAAAATCCTTTCATTTATTTTCCATTTAAGCCTTCAGGGTTTTTCAAAGCAGGGAAGGAAACTGAGGTGAAGGAATTGTAAGTAAGAATCTACATCTCTATCTATATTCATATCTATACCATATTTATATCCAAATCTACATCATACACTTAAATGAACTTAAGAGCAATATTAAAAAGCAGAAGTCTCTATTTGTCTTGATTAGTCAATTTTCCATAAAGCAGTCAATTCAATGCAACACACACACACACACACACAC